ACATCTGTAGATGTGGAAATCGATTTAAAGCAACCGAAAAAAGCGGTTTATTAAAGCAGCATATCTCATAAAGTTAGCAGTAAACTCTAGAAATGAGGTTCTCATAGGACATCAATTTTGAAGGTAAGCTAATGCAACAAATAAGCTTTTCCCTCAGCCACTTCAGAAGAGCATTAGAGGCAAATAAATAGACGTGTCAATGGTTCAATGTTGTTCATGATTTGGAAATGTCAAGTAAATTAGAATCAACGGGAAGCTTTGCTCCTACGTTAGGTATGGTCTCAATTTTATCGTTTTACTGTCAAATTACATGCACAAATACATTTTCTCGTGAAAAAAAAAAACTTTATCATCAACCAAGCATCTTCCTTTCATACTTTCTCGTAAAGCCTTTCCTAATCTTTCAGACTAATACCAGAATCAGGACGACACATGATTTTATGTGAGAGGATGCGGACTTAGAAAGTTATTTTAGAAATATAGGTGGTGTGAAATTACAAAATCTCAGGAGATACAGAATTAGATCGTCAATAAAAAAAATATAAATGAAATATCTAAACAGCATGAGAATTTAAAATTTACAAGGGTGCGATTGACTTACTTCAATTTTGGACATTCCATCTCCTAAGAAAGCGCAAGCATTCTTAACATGGGCAATGTAATATGTATCACACAACCCACATCGACTGCCAATAATTGAATTACATATAAGGGGGGGGAATTAAAAAAAATGAAAACCATGAAATAAAGTGTAAAAAGAAACTATGGGTATTTTATTGCATTAAAAGAAAGTGAAGAACCTGCAATGGTCTTTGGCTGGATATGTGCCTCCAGGGGGTATAGGCTTAGAGCGTTCCCGCCAGTCGTCTCTAAGCTTCACTGTTTTCTTGGCATTGGAGTTTGACTCTGTTCATTCGATGGAAGCTCGAATTAGTAAAGCATGCATGCATTTCATTGTGGGAAGATTTTGTTACTACTACCTTTCGAAGAAGAAGAGAAGATGGGTCTTAAGAAGCTGGAAACAACTGAAGTCATGGCAGATGAAACACAACACAAAGGATGCAATTTCAGTTTGCTTTTTGCACCACATATTTATTTCGGAGAGGATTATCATTTATCACACTCAACTCTTTCCTATAATTACAAAAATACCGGCACCGTATTACCAATTTTATAAAAATATTTTTTTGAATTTAATATAAAAATAAGGGTAAAGTATAGTAATGATCACTGAATATTTCTGAAGCTTGCATTTTGGTCCCCCAACTTTTAAAACTTGCAATAAAGTCTCCCAACATTTATTCCATTTGCAATATGGTCCCCAACTTAAATCACTGTTAGAAAATTAGGGTAAATTATATAAACGGTCATTGAACTTTTCAGGCACTTGAATTTAGGTCCCCAACTTTTAAAACTTGCAAAACAGTCCCCCAATAATTTTATTTTCTTATTAAATATAGATGTATAGAAAATATAAATGATTCAATTTATATTTAAATGTATGAATCATTTATATTTTTGATATATTTTATTTTTCTTGTATAAACTAGTATTTAAAATATGTTTATATTTTAATCAAAATATTTCAATATACGAATAAAAATATATTTATATAAATGTATATTTATATTTAGATGTATAAATAAAAAAATATATTCATATATTAATGTATGAATCATTTATATTTTTTGAATATTTTATTTTTAATAAGAAATTAAAATTATTAATTATATTAGAAATACTCAACTTAAGATTATATATATAATCATGAATTATAAATATGAAAAATATAATTATTAAATTTAGTTTAAAAAATATAAATCTTAAATTTATTCTTTTAAAATATTGTATCAACTAATATTTAAAAAATATATTAAATCTATCAAACAATTTATCAAATATAATATTTTTTATTGTAAAAAATATATAATATTTTCCCATCATTTATTGCTTTCAAATTTTTTGCCGAAGTTCAAATCTCATTATTTCCATTTTCCATTATATTCTTTTTTTCCTGGCATTGGTCATACTATTAGTATATGTATTATTGTATATCTCTTAACACAAACGATGATGTTAGCTTAGTGGCTCCACCTTGTATCTTTCATTTGCGTGACTCAGGTTTGAGTTTGCCCAAGACCCAAATTTTACTTCTTTGTAACTTAATTTTCTTCTAATTAGGTGGTGACATGTGTCACCAATAACACATATCATGATCATGTGTTAACACATGTCAGATCCTGGTTAAATGATTAATTTATTAAATTTTATTTAATTTAGGACTAAATTGATAGCATATATAAATAATTAGGTGGTGACATGTGTCACCAATGACACGTGTCATGATCATGTGCTAACACATGTCAGATCCTAATTAAATGATTAATTTATTAAATTCTATTTAATTTAGGACCAAATTGATTATATAAATAATAAAGACTGGGTGTATAATAATGTCAATTCCTTTTAACTGCCACATCATCATTTTTATCAATTGGTAACAACTAGTGGCTTAGTTGAAACAATTAAATAATTATGTTGTATGATTGATAAATTTAAAAGATCGATGACAAAAGTAAAAAGGGCTAGATAGTTAAGTTGTCAACCTAGTAGTTTACACTTTTATTTATACGTCAAAATAACATTTTATAAATTTAAAATTCGAATTATTTTCAACCTCTTCTATATCCTAACTACTTTTTTTAATTAAAAAATTTCTTCAACTGATAAGAATTATACTATTATATTTATATAAAAAATACGTATCACATGAAATAAGATGAAATTAAATAATAATAAATCTGACATAATTGAATTTAATTGAATTATTTTGGAATTTATGGTTTAGAATGAAATTGAATTACTTTGGAAATTGGGGTTTAGAATGAAATTGAGGGATGTTTTGCAAGTTTTAAAAGTTAGGGGACCTAAATTCAAGTGTCTGAAAAGTTCAATAACCTTTTATATAATTTACCCTAATTTCTAACGGTGGTTTAAGTTGGGGGACCATATTGCAAACGGAATAAATGTTGGGGGATTGTATTGCAAGTTTTAAAAGTTGGGGACCTAAATGCAAGCTTCAAAAATGTTCAGTGACCATTACTATACTTTACCCTAAAAAAATAAATTATACCTAAAAAACGATTTGATGTTTAAATAAATATTTTTGTTAAAAATAGAATTTTTTTTGTTACATTTTTAATTGTCCGACATTAAAAGACACGTGTCACCCTCATATTTTCTGAAATTTTTATTTAAAAAAAGGAAGAAAACGAAAATTATTATAATTATTTTTAAAAAATCCTTATGTTTTCATTCTTTTCACAAAACACCCCAAAATCATAAAACCCCAAATACTCCCCAAGTCCCTAAATCAAATTCTGGCGAACTCCACCCACTGATGGCGAAACCCACTACCAACCATCCCTAACCCAAAGTCCGGTGAAGCTCAGCCATCGTCTTCGACCGATTTGCGCACGATTTGAGATGATTTGCGCAACGTTGTTTCCAATTTTGCTTGTGATTTACAGCGATTTGAGGCTGATTTTTAACCGATGACCGGTTTAGGGTGACGACTAGGGGTGGGAATAGGCCAGGCCGGCCTCCAGGGGCCTGGGCCTGGCCTGTATAAAGCCTGGCCTGGCCTGGCCTATTTAACTAAACAGGTCAGGTCCAGGCATTTTTAAAAGCATATTTAACTAAACAGGCCAGGCTTAGGCCTATTAAAAAGCCTTATAAGCCTGATAGGTCAGCCTATTTAGAGTGACTACTTTGTAAAATATACTAAGTTAGAGTGACTTAATAGGGATTTTATTCTAAAATTAATGACTAAACTGAAAATATTAAATGTTTATTGTTAAACAGGCTTTTAAACAGGCCAGGCTTTTAAATAGGCCCAGGCCAGGCCTAAATAAAAGCCTTTGACAGGCCACAGGCCAGGCCCAGGCCTATTAAAGCCTGGCCTGGCCTGGCCTATTCCCACCCCTAGTGACGACAAGGGACTTGACAGCAGTAGAATCCGACGCCCGGTGGGTATGCAATGACGACAGCAACAAAAGATTTTAATGATTTGGGTTTCGAAATCAAGGGATCATTTTGATATTTTTGAAACATTTGAGTTTTTAAAAATCTAAAGACGACACGTGTTAGTTCACAACTAATTTTAACGGTCATGCACCTAAAAGTGTAACGAAAAAAACGTTATGTACATAATTTTAACAAAAATTTCTTTAGACACTAAAACGTTTTTCAATACATAATTTGGGCACTTATTTTTATATTAAGTTTTTTTTATTACAATGAGATTATAAAGTAGTATATATTTTGAAAAAAAATTGATCATTTGACTATGAAGACTCAAACATTCATGTATACATCACGACTAAACACAATAACAATACTTCTAATAATAATAATCATCTCTTAATTACTAAGATAGTTTAATTTGTGTCCTATTAATTTTTTTTCTCGTCTCTTAGAATGAAATTACATCACCATTGTGCATGTTAAAGGTAATAAATATTTTTACTTTTTATATAGTAAAATTTTAGTTTTTTAATATAATTATTTAAAAATTTAAATTTAATTAATAATATTAGAGCTATGCTGGTTTAGAATATATCATATTTTTTTATTAAAAAATCACCTTAATAATTTAAAATCACGTCATAATAAATTTTTATAATATTTAGTTTAAATAAAAAAACCATCTAGGAAAAAACAGAGGGACTAAATCAATGGGGAAATAGAAGAAAATGATGAGTTATTGAATTATGTTATCATGTGTTTCCGTTTTCAACAGTATTTGAAAAATTCAATTTTACGAATGTTGAGTTCAAATTTCTAGTAGAAAATGTAGTTTTATGTATCAAGTACAATAAAAGAGAGGGATAGATTCGTAATAATTCAACTTCTCTAGATAGCATTGTCTAGAGTGCGTCCCTCAATGCTCAAGCATCTAATAAACCGTCAGTCGATCGCAATGAGTAAAAGTTACTGTTGTAAAACCACGTGCTTAAACCATGTTTCAGTTTCATTCTCCCTACAACTCGATCACGAGCTAATTCCATGGCTGATATCAACTTAAGCTCTGGTTTTGGACACACGTTTATTAGAAGTTAACACTGGATACAAACCCCAACTTCATCAAACACACCAAAAAGCATACAACGCAGAACACATGATGCAAAAACATAGTTAAAGTGTCAGTTGTAAGTCCTTAATACTCGGCCCTAGCTTCCTCTTCAACCACAGACGTCAAGAACGACCTGTTATTGGCATTCCTCACGGAGCAATTGGCACGAATTTCCCCGGTCTTACCGGTTAACACACTCAACTGGCTCATCTTCACCATGGCCACCACAAATTTCTCGAAGAAGAGAGTCTGGTTAACAGCAAAGCTAGTAACGATGCTCCTTGTTTTACCATTAGTGTACAGGTCTTGGTCCGATGTGAACAGCCCCTGCCGGTTCATCAGATCGACGTAGTACTTGTTGTCGAATTTGTTCGGGGTCCGAATGTCCAACACTGTGGTGTTTGAGGAATCTTCTGTAGGACAGACTCTCCTGAGATTTTTGGCGAAGGTTTGGTCCATGGTGGGGTCTTGATCAGGGTAAAGGCGCTCGGTGAATGAGCCGCAATGGCTGATGCCGATGGTGTGGCCACCTGAGAGGGCTACCACGTCGGTCGGGTTGAAGTTTTTGGTGGCGAGGCTGGATAGGATGGTGTCGGCATTGGCGAAGGGTGGCGGCAAGTTCTGCAATGTTGCGTCTCTTGTGGCGAAGGACAGTCCATCTCGCCTTCCCAATGGCACATCATAGTCCGGACCTCCAGACTGCAATGAAGAGAAAGGGAAAGGATTAGCATTGGATTCTACCTCAACAACATGATAATTGACTTTTCCTCCTATGTCCCCATAGTGAGGAAAGTTGGCACTACAAAATTGACTTTTCCTCCTATGTTCGGAAACTTTTTATAATAGAATATCAAGTAGTTCATTTAGATCCATTAAATCTAAGTTCATTTGAATTGAATGTTGATCAAACTTTGAGTCTCTCGAGTATAAGTAGTTTACTTAACTCATTATGAAATCGAATCAAGTTCATTTGAATGTTGATCAAATTTTGACGAAGTTAAATTTGGATAGATTATAATTTGTCTTGTGTCGTTTATAGCCACAGTCGTAGAAGAAAAAATAGGTAGGAAGTAGATAAGATATTAAATGAGTGGTTGAAGTAAATACCAGGTACACAGAGTCACGAGCAGCAAGAGCAGCGATATCAGCACAAGAGACGACTCTTCCACACTCCTTGTGGACAAGTGCACGCAAGTCATTTATTATTTTGAATCCTCTCAACGTCAGGTTCGGCGGAGCATCCTGTTCGCTTGGCCCACTTGCTGATCCATCCAGCAGCACCGATGCATCACACCCCTGCAAGTAATTTGACCTAATAATCGTAAATCTTCTATTAAAAATCCACCAACTCACTTTGACAACATTAAAATTGTCTTTTTTTTAAGCTGGAATCAAAGGCAATATTTCTTCACATCTTTTAGTCCTACGTTCTCAAGTAATCACTGGATTCAGTTCAGACAAGTGATCAAGTTTCAGACTAGTGTAAAAAGAAGATCCGTACTATCGTCCTTAACAAAAACAATTACTATTACTCCAACAGATCACCTGAACAAAGCAGTCATGGAAATGGAGACGAAGCAAGGCAGCAGCTTGGCCTATATCCTTCTTGAAAACCTTCTGCAGTTGTTTTCTAATGATGGATTCAACTTTGGGGCATGATTTTTGGTAGAATGTCCATGACAGACCACTCACTATAGGAAGAGCAGAGTTGTCTGCTTTTGAGACAGAAAAGTAAGAAGAAAGACACAGGAGACAGACCAAAAGGAAAGCAGTGAAGGGTGTAGCATTAGCCATGGCAGCTTCTTGTTTCCCTATGGACTTGGACTACACCATAAGCGTGTTATTTATAGGCTGATCACCAACTCATTTACTCACAATAGTCTTCCTTGTTTATCCTCTTCCCTTTACTTTTATTTCGATTTTCCACATACATTCATGTATCTAATATCTTCACGTGTCCATTGGTAAAAGATTAAAAGAAAAAAAAAAGTTGATAAAGACATTTTAGTATTTCCAAAAATTAGGAAGATGATTATGAAACTGCGAAATGGCATGTGGTGACCACGTTGCATCAGTACTAAACTAATAATGGGTCATAGTCGACCACTGAATTCATAATTCCAATTTCGTTTGATTTTTTTTAATTAATCATTGGTATCTGATTTATTGACCGATTAATTCAGATTAGATATTACAGAGACGAGGGCGATCTTCCCTACCCAGTTTGCTCCATTCGCAAACGTTAGGATTCGAACACCAGACCTTACTTAAAGGACCTAGTGTAATCATAATATATAAAATAATGTCATAATATATATTTTAAACAATTAAAATAATATAATTAATATTTGCAATATTTAATAAAATAAATTATATAATTTATGAAAAAATTTAATCACTTTATATTAAAAATTAAAGATACAATCATTTTTAAAGATTAAAAGATAATATATTCAAATAATTAATTAATTGTAATAATAGATCCAAGTATAATTTAATTGATGTACACGAAATACATAAGAAAAATAAAAAGATTAATTATAAATATAATTATAGTGAGGTAATTGTCATATTGATACTTCATGATGCAAAATAAGGAGAGAAAAACAAAACTTAAATCGTAAGATAAAGAAAAATATAATAAAATAGATTATTATTATTATTATTATTATTCTCATTCACCTAGATAGACAGTATTAAATCATAATAAATTTTGTTTCCTGCATATTTTTTAATGTTAATTTCACTATATTTTATTTTTGCTTAAGAATTTTTAACAAGTAATATCATAATCATGGTTTGAGTTACAAAATTTTAGAGAAATCTATTGTTGTGGATTTCATTTATGATATTGGAGACATATATGAGAAGTTTTACTGTAATGAGTTTTTAGTTACATATGCGTAATTTTCGATCGATCAAGTGGTACTTCGACTTAAAAATTGAAGTTGTTGATGGTGGAGCTTTAACATATAATTAGCTTACATAAAAACTGAAGTCGTTGAAGTTTTGAAGATTAATTTTCTAATGAAATGTATTTTCGTGGAGAGATTATTAGATACAGACTTAAATTCTATTTAGAAATTAAGTTGAATTTTATTATACTTTTGTTGGTTAAAGATTACTTAGTGATTAAGTTTATTTAACTAATAATTCTTACTGAATAAAAAATTACTTATTGACTAAGTATTTGACTCTACATGTAGAGAGTTTGTCTTAGCTTTTAGAGTTATGACATAAAATTATTTTTGAAAATATATAATCGTTTTATAGTCTTTGCAATTTTTATGGTTTACATTGTAGAGATGGTTTTGTAGAAATATTGAGAGAGTAATTTTAGAATATTTTAGTCTTGGTATAGATATTGAATTTTAGAATATATGTGATATCATGAATTATATTTACTCTTCATGATCTCAAAATTTATAATGGATTATTATTCTTCTCATCCAAGAAGATATGTAAGATTAAATCACGTTAAATTTCATCTATTGTGTGTGACCAATTTCATGTTGGTTTCGCTTTGTATATTTTTTTCCTACAAATTCCTACTATGAGGGGCAACTTTCATTAGAAAATTAGTCTTCGAATCTTTAACAATTTCAATTTTTACATAAGTCAAATATTAGTTAAAGCTTTATCGTGAAGCCTCCAACAACTTTAATTTTTAGGTAATAATTGTTGAAGTATTATTGGATTGATTGAGAAATACTCTCACGTAATTGAAAATCATTGCAATAAATCATCTCTTGCACGTGTCTTATTTATATTAACGTCACTTTTGTTATTTTTTGCTTGATAACCATAATATAAATCTTTGTTTTCCTCTAAAATTCGTTACACTCATGGAAAATAATTATGTCATGCTTCTCAAAATTGTTATACACATAAATTATTATTTTTAACCGGAAATCCTCTTCTATTTGATATAGATAATACATTTTTATCAGTAATGTCCTCATTTGACACAAATGAGGAAATAATAAATACATTGTCTAAAATTATTGAACTATATAAACATAAAATCTGACATTCTCTCTATGTTCTTTCACCACAGTGAGAGAATTCTTACAAATTTTCATAATTTTATCTTTCATGGGATATGTGTATTCTTTTAAATATAGAATATCCGATAAAATTAGATTTTTTTCCAAATCTATACTGATTTGAAGTTGATGTTATAATTTAACAACAAAATTTCATATTCTAAAAATTTTATTATCATGATTGAAACAAACAACATGAATACTCTAATATTATTTTCATAAATAATTTAATAAACAACATATGTAGCTAATAAAGACTGGGAAAAAATTTTGGACATGGAAATAAGCGTGTGTATTTTGCAGGACATTAAAAGGGGAAGAAGCCGTGGAGCGCGTGGCGCAATGATCAGGAAATCCAAGATATTTTCCTTTTGCACTTGTCCACTTGGTGATACCAATCCTAAATTTGACAACAATAATGGCTTTCAATTATGACGAGGGATTGGATTTTACAACATATTAAAACGGCATAGTTTAGTTTGAATTAACTTTTAAATATAGAATAAGTTAAACTAAAAATTCACTCACACTTTCAACTGAATCCATTTTGGTTTAAGGTTTTAGAAAATTTTAATTCATAATATAGTATTCAATTTTTGTTAAAAAAAAACTATCACATCAATAATTTTATTTTTCTCAATGATAAATGACAAAAATTCAAACTAAATTATTATATCATATAAATCTAAAAGAATAAGTAAATACGTACTTTATCCTTTATTTTATTGGGAAGTAGTTAAGAGGTCCAAAATTCTCCACATGGTCATGTTATTTTGTCATTACCTACTTCTCAACTAATGTGTTCAAATCGTCCATTATCCAGGTGGAACATATCACCGAAAGACTAAAATGTTCCGTCACGGTTCAAAACCCTATGAGCTGTAATTCTTTATTATATATATTTTATACACCTAATTACTCAGGTTTTAAACTTTTTAAAAATAATATATTTTATTATTTTTTCTCAATTATTGAGACGATTTAATAATTTTGTACGTTTATTAATTTTTATACTATGATTAAATTATACATTTATTAATTACATAATACATGTTGGCTTAAAATGATTAAATTAGATAAACGAAATAAAAACATGTATCTGATACAAAATTAAAAATTTAATAAATTTATTAATTACATGGATCATAAATTCATAGTTAAATCTTCAAAATATAAAAGTACATTAGTTAAAATTCCATTTCAAAATATAAAAGTTGTGACAAATCTGGATTGCTTGCTTGATGGGTTTGGAGACTAATTCCATTTCAAACTCTTGAGGGTGTGACCACTGATTTCTATTTGAACCCACCTACATTTAAATTTGTTATTGGAAATAAATGAGTTTTGTCAATTATAAATAATTTATATATTTTAATTTAAATAAAAATTATGATCAATGGATGAACGTTTATTGATTGATATTTTTATATTATAAAAAGGTCAGTCACGAGTAAAAGAAGAAGGATAGTTACAAAAGGTGTCTTCCTTCTACTTGACTAAGCGTAGATCCGAATACTGAGTACATCTGTTGGTTCAATCTTGAATTTTATTATGGTATATCATATGAGTCCAGAGGTCTTATCTATGTGTTGTGGTTGATTCAAAACTTTTTGTCGAGGGGTCAGGTTCTCTAAAGGCTCTGATAAGCAAAATGATCGATTCGGGACTTCTAGTTAATGAAAAACTAATGGTTTTTAGAGGTCATTCTCTAGAGAGATAACATGTCGTCCCCTTTAGAGAGAGAGAATTTTTTAGAGTGATTTCTCTTACTTGGTGAAAAATCATTTATCGAATCATTTATCGTGGATGATATATAATGATTTTTTTTTTTATAAATTTTATGGAAGTTTTTCAAAATATTTTTAAAATTGAAAGATGATTCTGAATTTTTGTTGAAAGATATTAATTTATTTATTTTTAAAATTGATAAGATATATATACATCAATTTATTAATTTACTTTTAATATCTAAATTATTAAAATTAAACTTTTTTATTAAAAATTAAGCTTAAACAAAACTGAAAATTTTATTTAAATAGATTTAAAGAAATAAACAATCAAATAATTTAAATTTACTAACTGAAAATTTATAGAAGAATTTAAAAAAAAAATCAAAATTTACTTAAATTAAGGATTAAAATTTGAGATGAGCATCAGATCTCCTAAGCAATGTTAAAGATTTGAATTTTCATGTTTATAAATGAAGTAAATTAAATTAGAAAAATAATCCTTATCTTTGCAATATATGATCCAAATTAATTAATTAATAAATCAGATAAATAATTATATAAAAATAAAAATCAGATTAAAAGAAGAAGATAAAAGTCGGCATACACAAAAATGCGACAAAATTTTCTCACAATGGTGTTTTCTAAGCAAATAGTGGATCCTTACCTTCTCGTCTACTTCCTTCCTTTACTTTTTTTATAATTTCAATATTAATTAATTAAGAACTACTACTTTAAATTAATCCTTGTATTTTAGAAATTAAAAAGTTAATTAATCAATTAAATATTTTAATATTACTTTAACCCTAAATTAATTTCGATTGCAATTTGCAAAGGCAGTGAAAATTTATTCCCAATTGCTTTTTCAAAAAAGGTTGGCTCTTCTTTTTAGGAAAGCTGTTAAATCTGTAGCGTGCTTGCCAGAGGAGTTGTTTATTATTTGAGATAATTATTTTTTTTGAAAAATATTAAAGCCTTTAATTTATAAATATTTTTAGTTAATTAAGATATTATTAATAATCATCTATTATTTATTAAGAATGATAAGAATGAACTAACAACTATTTGATC